TAGCAGGAACCGAACCCGGGTCTCTCTGGACCACAGGCCGACGCTCTAACCGCTGAGCCAAACTAGCCAGGGCCAATTTGTACTTCTTAATACCTTTACCTTTTCCACCCAGCCACTCAACCACCCTCCCATCTGGCAACCAGTAGTTTGTTCTCTATGTCTGCGACTTCGTTTCTATTTTGTTTGTTTATTTATTTTGATTTTTGAAGTCCACATACAAGTGAAATCATGTGGTATTTGTCTTTCTCTGTCTGACTTATTTCATTTAACAAAATACCCTCTGGGTCCATCCACATTGTTGCAAATGGTGAAATTTCATTCTTTTTTATGGCCTAGTAATATTCATATATATCACCTTTTTTATCTGTTTATCTTTAGACTGAAGCATTCAATCCATTTACATTTAAAGTTGCCCTGGTCAATTTGGCTCAGCAGTTAAAACATCAGACCATGGACCAGAGGGTTAAGGGTTTGATTCCCAGTCAAGGGCATGTACCTGGGTTGCAGGTTCAATCCTGGCCCTGGTTAGGATCATGTGGGAGGCAACCAATCGATGTCTTTGTCTGTCTCCCCAACCCCATCCTTGCACTCTATTAAAAATCAATGGAAAAGTATCCTCAAGTAAGGATTAACAAAACAATAAAGTAATTATTGATAGGTATGTAGTTGTTGCCATTTTATTGTTTTTCTGATTGTTTTTGTAGTTTCCTGTTCCTATTCTCTTGCTCTCCTCTCTCGTATGTTGATGACTTTCTGTAGTATTGTCTTTGGATTTCTTCTATTTATTTCTTGTATATTTCTTGTACGTTTTTTATTTGTGGTTACTGTGTGTTGCATATATATACCAAGCTACATGTATAGCAGTCTATTTTAAATTAATAATCGTTTAAGTTCAAATACATTCTAAATCATTACCATTTTTACCCCTCCACATTTATATTTTTTATCATTATATTTTGCTTGATGTTTGTATGTATCCCTTAATTTACTAGTGTAATTACACATGATCTTCCTACTTTTCCTTTCAACCTGTGTACTAGCTTTGGTGTTGATTGATCATTGCTTTTATGATGTTTGCTTTTATGATGTTTGCCTTTGTCCGTAAGACTATTTTTCTTTACAATATTTTCTTATTCATAATTTTTATTATTTTTCTTCTTCTTCTTAGAGAAGTCCCTTTCACATTTCTTGTAATACTGATTAGGTGGTGATAAACTCCTTTAGCTTTTTCTTGTCTGGGAAGCTCTTTATCTCTCCTTTGATTCTACATGATAGTCTCCTGGGTAGAGTAATCTTGATTGTAGGTCCTTGCTTTTCATCAGCATGTTTATTTTTTAAAGAGTCTGTGAGTTGGTAGATTTTTGAATATTTAGTATTTTTAAAATATTTTTGAGGAAAAAATTTAAATAAAGAAACATACAAAGAATAACATAACACTCATATTCCCACCACCTGGAATTATCTCCTCACAAATTTACCAAGTATTCTTCAAGTGTTTTTAGTTTTTTTAAAAAAATGAGACATTATAGATAAAAATTAAATTTTATTTTACATACTGCCTCCCATCTTCTTCCATCTTTGTAGTAATAACCTCTATCATGAAACTAACGAGTATCTTTTCAGTCTGTATATAATGATAGATGTTTAGATGTACGTTTACACAGACATGCAGGCATCTTAGAAAACTAGTTCTATGGGTACCATTTACAGTCATATATACAATGTAGCATATTGCGTGCACAGCACAGGAGTAGGGAACATGTATTGAGTCATTATACTGTGCTTGGAGCTGTACTATTTCCATCCTATCAATGACCACATGTAGCAGACATTGTTGTTGTGCCCTTCTTACGGAAATCAAGATGCACAGAGATTTCACTTGCCCAGAGTGAAACAGCTAGTAAGTGGTGGAGTTCAGACTTAATCCCCTAGCCAGGCTCCGGAGCCTGAGCACTTGATCGTCATGCTACATGGTCTCTTCACCGTGTCACTCTGCAGAATTCTTCACTCTCAATATCATGCTTCTGATATCTGTGATTTTTTAATTAAATTTATTGGGATGACATTCATAAGATTATATAGGTTCCAAGTGTGCAATTCTATGATACATCATCTGTATATTGCATTGTGGGCTCACCACCCAAAGTCAAATCTTCCATCACCATGTATTTGATCCCCTTCACCACTCCGCCATCCCCTTCCCTCTGATAACCACCATACTATTGTCTGTGAGTTTTTGTTTTGTTTTTCTTGATTGTTTATTTGTTGCTTTAAGTTTTCTATCCCACATATGAATGAAATCACATGGTTCTTAACTTTTTCTGTCTGACTCACTTTGCTTAACATGATAGTCTCCAGGGCAATCCATGTTGTTGCAAACGGGTATTTCATCTTTGCTTATGGCTGAGGAGCATTCCATTGCGTATACAGGGGTGGGCAAAAGTAGGTTAAATTCGCAGCCATCATTACAAAAAAGATAAATCATAAGGAAGGATACAAAATGATAATAATAACAATGAGAAGACATAAATAATAATATGAGAATAAACTCTGGCCCTGGCCGGTTTGGCTCGGCGGTTGGAGCGTCGGCCTGCGGTCCAGAGAGATTGCGTTTGGTCCCCGCTAAGGGCACGTACCTCGGTTGGGTCGTGTAGGTGGCGACCACTCGATGTATCCCTTTCACATCGATGTTTCTCTCTCTCTCTCTTCCTTTCTCTCCCTCCCACTCTATCCAAACAAAAAATGAAAAAAAATGTCCTCGGGTGAGGATAAAAAAAAAAAAAGAATAAACTGGTTTGTGTACTTACAACTGTAAACCTACTTTTGCCCACCCCTGTATGTACCACACCTTCTGTATCCAGTCCTCTATCGCAGGACAGGACGCTGGTTGTCTCCGTGCCTTGGCCACCATGACTAGTGCTGCAGTGAACATCACGGTGCCTATGTCTCTGTGAATAAGTGTTTTCAAAATTTGGGAGTAGATAGCCAGAAGATGGGTTACTAGATCATATGGTAACTCTATTCTTAATCTTTTGAGAGGCCTCCATACTGTTTTCCATAGTGTCCTGTGTAATTGTTGATAAAACACTAATTCAATAATAATGGATCTAGCTCATATTTATTCCATATTTCAATAAATGAATATTTTTAAAAAGCAGTATTGCATTGTGGTTAAGACCTGTAAAATAGGAATAGTGAAAGTTCCTATCTCACTAGATTGTCATGAGAAATAAATGGTTTAATTCAAGTAAAGCAGGTAGACTAGCACTTGGCATGGAGTAAGCACCCAATAAGTATTAGCTATTATTTATTATTACTATCCATCCGTTATCCCACTGAACCTAATCATTAGGTTTCCAATCATTTCTTTTGGGTATCTCCCTAAAAGAGAAATTGATGGCTCATAGGGTATGCATGTTACAGTTTTACCTGATTTTGCCAGCCAGCTGTACTAATTTACATTCCCCTGGCATTGCTAACCCACTTCCTGTCTCTGGATTTGCCTCTTCTGGACATTTCATATAAATGGAATCATATAATAGGTGCATTTTTGTAACTGGCTTTTTTCACTGGCTTTTGAGGTTCATCCACTTTGAAGCATGTGTCAGCATTTCATTCCTTTTTATGGTCTAAGTAATAGTTCATTATGTGGATATATTGCATTTTGTCTATTTTTTAGCTGATGGAAATTTGGGTTGTTTCTACTCTTGGCTATTATGAAGATTGCTGCTATAAACATTCATATGCAAATTTTCGTATGGATCTATATATTTTTTATTTTCTTGCCTGTAAATATATTTATATACTAGCAGTGGAATTGCAGAGTCGCGTAGTGACCATGTTTAACATTTTGAGAAAGTGCCGAAGTGCCTGCCCCATTCTACAGTCCCACAAGCAGGTGTCAGGGTGCCGGTGTCTCACCTCCAGCGCTTGCTACTGTCTTTTTGATTCTAGCCTCCTAGTGAATGTAAAAAGGAAACTGTACCATGGTTTTCATTTGCATTTCCCTGATGGCGAATGATGCTGAGCCTTTTTATATATGCTATTGTGCATTTGTATGTCTTCTTTGGAGAAATGTCTATTCAATTTTTTTTCCTATTTTTGAATTGGGTAATTTCCCTTTTGAGTTGTAAATGTCCTTCATGTAATCTGAATACAAGTCCTTAGTCAGCTATATGATTTATAGATATTTTCTCCCATTCTTAGGGTTATTTTTCACTTTCTTGATGTGAATTGGTGAATTTTAATATTTGTAGTTTTCACATTTCCTAAAAACTTCAGTTTTCAAAACTGTGCTCATACTGTCTGCTGAGGGGATGGACCACACGTCAGAGAGCCTGGACGTGTGCGTGGAGAATAAAGGGACTGCATCTGCTTTTCTGCAGAGGTTCATGCACTGGCCACAAATGCAGAATTCCCAGTCATCTACATGAGCCCCTCAGCCATGGAAGCTAATTCGCTTTTATTTTTAATGTGTTTTTATTTACTTTAGAGAGAGAAGGGAGAGAGACAGAGAGATAGAAACATCAATGAGAAAGATACATCAATCAACTGCCTCCTGCACGCCCTCTACTTGGGATCGAACCTGCAACCTGGGCATGTGCCCTGACTGGGAATCAAACCAGGGACCTCTTGGTGCATGGGACAATGCTCAATCATGGAGCCACATCGGCCAAGCTAATTCACTTTTTATAACAGAAGATATACCTTCACACCTAACTGAATTTTGAATATTTTTTTATTGTTGACTCTATCACAGATCTCCCCATTACCCCCCTTGTCCCCTTCCACTGTGCCCCCACCCCTGAGGCCTTCACCCCATTATAGAGTTTGAATTTAATAATGAAAAGCATTAAAACATTCCTTACATTTCCAAACTGTTGATTGGTTAACTGAGCAGCATTCGAATTTCTGTTTAACCTGACCTCTTTCTTTTTCTTGTCTTTTTCTCCTCCTTCCTCTTTCTCCTCTCCCCTCCCCACTCCCTGTTTCAATTTCAGATTGAAAATGGCTCAGGAATCGGTCAGCAAGTTGACGGCAGAGAAGAAAGTAGAGACAAAGAAAATCAACCCCACGGCCAGTCTGGTGAGCTGCATTCTTCAACGTAACCTCAAGATTTTTCACTGTAGCTGAGGTGCACCCAGGAGTGTGCCTGAACTTAACGGATAAGGCTCAGGGGAATGGCAGGTAGTGTCCAGATTCTCAGCTCCCCTCACACAGTAGTACGTGGTAAAAAAAATATATAGATAGATAGATAGACAGACAGACAGACAGACAGATAGACAGACAGATAGATAAGGGCGAAGGGAATGAGGAATGAAGCACAGCTTTATGGGTTTGCCCACCAAACTCAACAAAGGTCATTTCTTGATCAACCAAATTGAGTCACTCGCCACTTCACACCTTCCACTCCCCCCACCCGTGCCATGACCCCTCGTATCTCAAAGCCCCTTCCTCCTGAAATGTTTACGCATTTCACCTGCATCAGTTGGTTTTCCCCGTTAAAGAAAAGGACAGGGCTTTATCCTCTTTCGATAGTTGGGAAACAGATGCAGAAAGATACAGCCTCCCTGGGATCACTTCACAAATGGGTAACAAAAGCCAGGACCACACTCTGGGCCCCCAGAAGTCTCTCCCTGTCCCAGAAACCAGCAGTCTGACCAGGCTTCCCAGCTGTGAGGACAAGTCGTCCTCCACGGTCATGTTTTCAGGGTGGATCACAACAATTCTCCACCCATTTGTTACAGACAATAGAATAGCTGAATGGTTACGAACCCAAGGTGTTGGGGTTCAAATCCCAGCTCAGCCACTTACTAGCCGTAAAACCTCAGTGAAGTTACTTTGCTTCTCCCTCTTTTGCGAAAAGAGGGAAATAATATTACCTTTGGTTTAGGGCTATTTTGAGGAAGCTGGGAAGAGACATATGAAGTGCCTAGCACATAATAGAAGCTCAATAAATGTTAATTCTTCTCCTTGTTATCACAAATTCCGGCGGCCTTGGTTGATGCTGAAGTGGGGAGATGCAGTGAGTGGCAGGTGGGACTGGCCCTCTCCTCACTTTGATTTTCAGACCCTACCTTCCATGCACCCTGACCTTCCATAGCTGCCTAGTGTTATCCGTGTGTGTCCCGAGTACTGTTTGCCCGCTGCCTCCAATCCTGGGACAGTCTGACTGGAGCGTAAGTTATAAAGGGAGATCGTTTCTGCTGACTGACCGCGTGTCCCTCTCAAGAACCCCATCGGCAGTTAAATGAACGTTGAGTGAGGTTGGTGAGTGAGAAATGGAGAAGTCGGGCCACACAGCCTGGTCGGGACCAGCAGTGGTTAGCGCACAAAGCCCCTGCCTGAGAGGACGTGTCCTCGGAGCCTTTGACTCCGCATTACAGGCATCTGAGGGATTTCAGCGACATTGGCTCAACCCCTCCCCCCAGGCCCCTTCCTCGGGCTCCTGTCCTGACTTTACAGCCACACCTTATCTCCAGGGACAAAGGGAATGGGCACAGCTCTCTAGACCAGTGACTTCCAGCCGGTGTGCAGCTACAACTGTTAAAACATGCAGTGCTTGACTATTTCTTCAGGGGCTCTGACCTCTTTTCCCTTAGATTGTCAAAGAAAAAAATGGCAACAGCCCACACAACAACCACTGTCCAGTGTGAGTGAATCAAAATTATACCGATTCTTCTTTTGTCAGAGCAGCAGAAACCGTAAGATACGTTCTTGTGGGCCGCGGAACGTGAGTCATTAGTGTGGCGCCAGGAGACTGAACGCCGCTGCTCTCGACAAAGGGAAACGCGCTGTTTGCGGGACCTCCGCCGTGCGCTCCCAGCTGAGGCCCGGGGCCTGTTAGGTTGTTTGTTTTGTTGTTTATTTTGATAGAAGTTAGGGAAGAACTTGTAAACTGATTCCTGATTTAATTTCACAAGTCAGGGAGGGGATCCCAACTCTCGGGATGGGTGTTTAAAATAATCATCTTGCCCGGCTGGTGTGGTTCCGTGGTTGGGCATCGACCCACGTACCAAGAGGCCAATTGATGTTCTCTCTCATCGATGTTTCTATCTGTCTCTCCCTCTCCCTTCCTCTCGCTCTAAAAAAATAATAATAATAAAAATTTTTTTTTAATAAATAAATAATAAAATCAACTTAACCTTTACATCCAGGGCAACACAGTAATTAAGTCACTGCAACATGTCAGCTCACGGATCACAAGCAGCCGAGGATCCGTTCTCAAAGGGCTTCTCTCCGCACCTGCTCTTTCCAAGGGAGTGTACTTGTCCCATTTCTTGTATAGCCGTCCGTTTTCCCACCCCTGAGAGCACACACCCAACACTGTGCTTGATATATTTACTTCTCCGAAGTCCTAGAAACAGTGAGGGTCCGTGTTTCTGTCTCGTGTACTCTTGTTGGATTTTACAGCCTGCCAGCTGCCTCCCGCGTCCTTCCCCGCTGGACGGTCGGCCCGGGGAGGGAAGCCCAGGAAAAGCAGGGCCGATGCCCAGGGCACATGGGAGCTCTGCCGTCTGCGCGGCCTAAATCTGGTCGTCATCCAGTTTGACTTTTCATAGCTGACTCCCCAGAAACTATGTCTTGAGCACTCCCTAATTCCATCAGTGGCCCAGGTGAGGGATGGGCGGAGTCTTTGAGTGACACTACAGAGTTAGGACTTTTATCACAGAACAACAGCCTGGGATGGCAGAGGTCAGTGTTTCGGATGGATCTGCTTGGTTCACTAGCTGCGTATCCATTTTGTCTGTTGGAGAGTAAGGCGATAGGTTGGAAGGGGCAGGTAACTAGGGTTTCAGAAAAGAAGGCTAGAGATACTCTGATTCCTGGGGCACAGGGTACAACTGTAGAATTCTACACCAAAATTTGAGAAACGTCTCCAAATTTGAGGAAGATGAAAAATTAGAAGAAAAAAAAAGGAATGGTAATAAACTCATTTTTCTGCTTTAACCACAGAAAGAGAGGCTACGTCAGAAGGAAGCCAGTGTGACCACCAACTAAAAAAGAGACACGTGAAAACGACAGCAAGACTGAGTAACTTGCTCATCTCTGTGTGAGGTCGTCTGAGCGAGAACCCTGCCTTCTCCATGAAATCCCCGGTTAAGCCACAGAAACAATACAAAGCTGTTTAAGGAGATATTGCCGAAGTATCTGATCATTGTCTCCTGTAGAGGTCCAAAGTCCACTTAGTTGTAAGACCAGAAGAAATATCAAGATTTTCCAAAAATGTTTAAAAGCAGAGACTTCCAGCTCTCTGACCTGCTAATGACATATGTAAACTTGGGACAGAAGAAGAGAAGGGTATTTGACGACAGCTGCCTTGAGAGAGTTCAAGCCTTCACACACTGCTGGTGTGGGTATTGGTCTTCATTTTGATCCCATTACATCAAGGTCCTGAAGCATCTTTCTCGCCAAAAATGTTGAAATTACCAAAACTATTTTTAAAGCGGTCCAAGACTGTGTGTTTCCCAAAGGAGAGAAATGGTTATTTCATTGTTGTTGTTGTTCATGCTATGGAAAGGAGAGAAAATAGAGCTATACATGGATGGAGAAAGGGTTGAATAACCACAAACTTCATAAACCTGGAAAACAAATTATGATGCAAGGGGTTGACATCAGCCATTGAGCAAGACCCGTTTCTTTGTTTTTATGGCAATTACTCATGGCTTCTGGGACCAGCAGGGATTCTCCACCCCAGACTCCAGGAAGAAACAGTGATACCTGAGCAGGGAGATACTTGGGGTCGAAGCACCTGCTGGACAAGTGACCCAACAACAGAGCACATTTCACGATCCAGAACATCCGTGAATGGACAGTTCCATGTTGACACGCACCTGAGCTCTTGGTCATGCTCTGGGACTGTGGCAGCTGGACCTTCCCCCCAACCCAGGAGGCAGTTTCCAGACAGACTGCAGCCTTTGTCATGACCTTGACCGGCAGGCATGTGACGTAGGGTGAAGCAGGGGTCTTTGATGTCTGAAAAATTAAGGTCAGAAAAGTTCTTTATATGCAAATGCAAAAAAGATGATTGCATTCACCTTAAACTGTGTGGACTATGATGCATGTGCAGGTTTCTCTACCCGGGGAGCCGACGTGACCACTGCCCCGGGAGTCACAAGAGAAACGCATCTATCTTGTGAGGGGAGAATTGATTATAGGATCAAAGACTATCAGGTTTGGGCCTTTCAGGGAGAGAGGTCAAAGCTTTCTCCTCCAGTTGGTGGAAGAAAGTCTAGATATGAGCATCAACCTTAAAACCCTCCCCAATCCAGCTACTGTGTATGGCCTGACCCTTGTCCCAGAATCTTCCCAGAACCTCTCCACTTGCCAGGTGGCTGAGTTTCTACCCTGGACATGCCTGCCAGTTATCAGCCCCCTCAGGGACCCATCCTAGATCCAGCTAAGAAAGCAGTACCATATCCTAACATAATGCCCATCTCGGGAATCAGGAATGCACAGTCAGGATCAAATCAAGTCTCCGAAGCCATATTCATGCGGGTGCTAACCACCTTTTCTAACAAGTCAAAAGAAAGGAATATAGTAACATAGTTGGGTTACGTGTGTGTGTGTGTGTGTGTGTGTGTGTGTGTGTGTGTTTTCAATTCAAAATAAAAGGATGAGGCAAGCAAAACAGAAAAGCTGGTAAGACACTTCCTTGACGAAAAGAAGTTGCTGGTGGGCAAGAAGCTTTTCAGACTGTTTTCTTATATCATTTCTTCCTTTTCACTGTGAAGAAAACCTAAGGAATCCATCCGTTTAAAACAAATTCCACTTGCAGCCACCTGGGCTCTGTGACGTTTGTTTGGCATCATTGTGCAAGAGGGACGTGCCTGTCGTGCCCGCGCCGAGACTCGGCCTTGAGTTCAGAAGGACCAGAGTAAGCTTGGGTGCACGTGTGTCCTTACGGACGTGATGGGAGGCAGCTCCGGTGGCTTTCTGTGGGGTCGCTGTAGTCCTCCTCAGGTCTTAAAGTAGGATGATCATAAGAAAATCCTGGAAACAAGCAGGACTGTCCCTTTGGCCACATAACCCTGCAAGAACATGCTCTCAGGGAACCGGTGCCGAGGGACAATGAGTGGGAACATTCACTTTGAGAGTGAGACACATGCAGCCCAAGGTGGGTTTCATCCTCATGGCTAGACGAGGCAGTCACATACCTGTTTCTAAAGAGCAGTTTGCCTGCTGGTGTTAGGGAAACAGCCATTTTGTACAATTAGTCGAAGGTAGTGTATTAAGACTCCAGGGCAGGATGTCCATTATTTTCACCCAGTTCGACTCCTGCATTATGTCATCCGGACGCCCCCTCTCGGGTCCGCACGCATACCGCACTGCTGACGTTGCCTTCCTTCCTAACTTAAGCTGATCATCCGTGAGGGTTCATAAGAGTCTGTTCCAGGTAGGCCATCTAAAACAGCCTGGAGGCCTTAAAATGTCCCCTCTAAAATGAGGTTGAGGTTGTGTTTACAGCGGATGTCCCCGAGCTTCTCACGGAGAGGAAGCAGTCGGGTGCCACTGCGCAGCCGGAGCCTTCAGCAAGCAGGAGTTAAGTGGCTGCGGTGAGCACGGCCCTCCCTGAACAACAGGGTGGCCAGGATCGCTCCTCTGCTTGATCAGATACTCACACCTGACCCGCCCGTCAGACTCTGGGGAACCTCCACTTAGGGACAACGTCAGCCCTTCCTGGCCAAGATGCGTTGAACCTGAAGGCACAGTCGACAGCAGGTCGGATTCCTGCATGAGTAGCTGGCGTGTCGTCCAGCACACGAGTATATCATATATTAAACCAGAGCATGATATGAACATGTTAGGTTAAAAAAAGAACAAAACAAACAAAAACCAGCAGGCCTGTGAGATGTCAGATATCGGGTTAGAATGAGGTGTGCTGTATGGCCTTCAGCCCCAGGAGAAGCAGTTTACCAGGGGGATAGAAAGGGAAGCGTGTGGTCAAGCAGAAATTGAAGGCGGTGAATCCCCAGCCGCACGGGATGCACCTGCGGCCCAGCAGTTGCCTTTTGAATACTTGAGTTGACATCCGTGATGTCTCTTCACATGCTCGCTGCAACTACCTAGAAATTGTAAAGAATTTCCGAATTCTGAGCAGTTGGAGAAGGAAACCTAGTGGTGCTATTCCATCTGGAAGCGTCGTGGCCGAAACAAATTGGGAGCCTGCTTGGAGAACTGACTGTCAGACTGGATGCGGGTCTCCGACCGCCTGTTCCTCCAGTAAGGACAGTGGAAACTGCACACTCCCTGAGCCTTCCTCGGGCACCCGCTGTGTCCAGGAGTACCAGGAGGAAAGGGGTTTTCTACATGAAAAGCTCCTATGCTGCTGCTGGAGCAACTGGAGAAACCGAAGGCAGGAAGGAAATGCTTCGGTGATACTGGAAACTTCCCCGAAGGTAGTCATTGGTTCGGTTCTCCGTGGACCAGGACTGGACGTAGCAGAAGAGATGTAAGTGAGGCTGTGCACATCTCTCCACAGGGGGCCCTGCCTGCAAAGGGCGGTGGGGGGGGGGGGGTTCGTTTTCATTCGTCTTGCCTCCTTGAATGTTATGTTTTCCCATTTCTGTTCCTCCTCTCCCTTGCCTGTGTCCTTCACGCGGGTCCCTGCCTGCAGGAGCCCGGCACGCGGAGGCCGGGCAGGGTGTGAAGGGGAATTAGAAGTGCAGGCCGACGGCCTCTCTCCCTGCAACGGGCTTGAACTGCGACCGGGGAACCTCTTCTCTCTCTGATATCCTAAATCGGCCTATTTTGTCACACTCTCCCTTCCCCCAAACAAAGATAAAACCAACTGGGGACTTTCTGTGTCAAGGAGAGGGAAGAAGTCCAAAAAAATATGCCCCCACACACAAATTAATATCTAATCCAAATATCAAATATAAGTTTTATAAAGTATAAGTTGTCTTCAGGAATTGCTAGGAAGAACTGTTAGATTTTTCTCTAATCCTGCCTGTTCTAATCAGGGAAAAAAAACGAACAAAATGCCAAGAGCTGGAAGGGAAAATGAAAAGCATCAGCAGATTTGGTAATCTACAAATTAATGTATTAGTTCCTGAATCACACACACACAATGAACATACTGTGAAATTCAATGAGTTTATTTTTGAAAAAGCCACATAAAAAGAGAAGTGCTAGACCATTAAAATATCCTCACTGTGGGTTTTCTAAGAGCAGTTTATAAATGTGTGAAACATCCGAAGACCATGACGACCACATTTCACGTGTGAGACAGTGTACCGTTAGGAACACCACCACTGAGGAGAGTTGGTTGAATAAAGACAGGCACTTTCATTCACGTCAGCTACTTTGTCATCATATAGAAATTTGCAACATGGGAGAAACAGGTCTGTGTGGCCAAGCCAATAGTAGTCAAAACTAAAAAGTAGGAATCATTTTCAGCCTCTCCAAAATGCCAATAACTTGTTGGATATATTTCCATTTTTCAGCTGTAGAGAGAAACAGTCCCACTGCTTGGCACCTTCTCTATAATTGGGGCAGACGTCACTTACAGAAAAGCACCTTCAGACACAGGCCTCAGCGTATCTGGCTCCTTGAGGCTCACATACAGTATTTATAACCCCGTTAGCAACTGAGCCTGAGCATAGCCAGGCTTCGTAATCGCTATCTGTGACTGAGAGGCCCGTTTCGTGTCCCTCTGCACACCCATCAGTTGTTGGCACCGTGTTAGGAGCACTGAATGTTAGTTTCACAGTTCTTCATTTCCCTCCCTAGGCGTGGGCATTCTACCAAACCCTCTAGACAATGCTCTGCAGGACAGGAGTGAATTCAAGAGAGTTTTAACAGGTCCAGCTTGAAGCCAATTCAGTATTCGTGTTTGTTCCCAAACACTTAATCAGCACTGTGATATACGCTTGGAGTTTGGGAAAGTAGTGTGATTGACAACAGACATAGAAAGGTAAAGATATTAAAATGGCAGCTAGTCCCTCTGTCTCTTAAGTCCCTGTGCAATTTCTACGAATGCAGGGATGAGGGAAACCAATCCAGCCTCATTCAGTAGGTTGGCCTCAAGTGGAGTTTGTTGGACTCACTTCACCTCTGTCCACTTCCCCTCTCCCAGCCACCCTGGTGGTAGCCACACAGGGGCTCTGTTCCTCCTCATCCTTCTCCTCTCTGGCATGGTGATCCACTTCAGTCAACAGCCCCAATGAGCTCCAGACTTGATCGCATATCACATCTAGGAAGTAGTTATTCATGAATTTCTTCTACACTATGATCTGGGGAAGACTGACTTCATCTCAATTTTTATATGAAAGTGGTAGCTAAAGCCATTAATTTATTCTTCTACA